GAGCCTTCTCTTCTCCAGGCTGAACAGCCCCAACTGTCTCAGTCTGTCTTCGTCGGAGAGGTGCTCCAGCCTTCAGATCATCTTTGTGGCCCTCCTCTGGACTCGCTTCAGCAGCTCCATGTCCTTCTTCTGTTGGGGACTCAGAGCTGAACGCAGTATTCCAGGCGGGGTCTCATGAGAGCAGAGCAGAGGGGCAGAATCACCTCCCTCGACCTGCTGGCCACACTTCTTTTGATGCAGCCCAGGATATGGTTGGCTTTCTGGGCTGCAAGCGCACATTGCTGGCTCATGTTGAGCTTCTCATCCACCAGCACTCCCAAGTCCTTTTCCTCAGGGCTGCTCTCCATCCATTCTCCACCCAGCCTGTATTTATGCTTGATATTGCCCCGACCCATGTGCAGCACCTTGCACTTGGCCTTGTTGAACTTCATTAGGTTCTCACAGGCCCAATGGTTTGTTGATTTGAGTCTAAACTCTGTTGATGCTGTTAAATCAGAAATTAAATATGGTGTTTTGAGGATCAAGATAGAAGAACTCAAATTAGTTGGCTTGGACAAGTTTATCTCAAGTAACTTACCCACAAATCTTTTTTACATACCGAACTGATTAAGTCACAAAGCTGACCTTGCTGCTGTGCACTTAAAAACAAACAAAAAAGTTTGTGCTTAAGTTGAATTTTTCACATTGAGGATGGTGAGGCACTGGAACAGGTTGCCCAGAGTTGTGGATGCCTCATCCTTGGAAGTGTTCAAGGCCAGGCTGGATGAGGCTTTGAGCAACCTGATCTAGTGGCAGGTGTCCCTGCTCAGCGCAGCGGGGTTGGAACTAGACGATCTTTAAGGTCCCTTTCAACCCAAACCATTCTGTGGTTCTATATTGAATTCAAGCAAAACATACTCATCTACCCAGTATATTTTGCAGGAGATTTACTCATTACCAACAGATGGCTCTTGTTGAAGAATGGCTTCTTTTAGTTTGAGTTCTTGGAAAAAACAAAAAAGATTGAATTCAAGAAGTCATAGTAGTGAGAAACAACCCCATCCTGAAAGTTAATATATGAAAATGATAAATGAAGAAAGCACTAATATTACAGAGAGGCTATTACATTGATAGGACTTGTGCTCAACCCCACAGAGATAATGCACGGGCTTCCAGCTGATGCTTTGAAGTTAAGTAACCACGTAACACCTTGAAGATCAGGGAAGCCTCATAAAAGCATTCAGCATAAACCAGAAATGTTTTGATTTGTTGGGAAGATCCAGCAGGATATAGAAGCCAGGTTGTACCTGACTCTTAGGTGAGTCCCCTGCAGCAAGTAGAAAGCTCAGATGTTGTTTTTTTTGGGGGAAGGGGGTATTTGGGTATTTTTTTGGCAGCTTGTGAAATGAAAACCTATAGAGCAGGGAGACTGGTGATAAGGAGAAATAATGTGATGAAAATATTAAACTTCTCTTGGATAATTCTATGATGTTAGAAAGTTCCTGAAGTAAAAGGACTCTGAGCCTTGTAATGATGAGCATCCAGATGAGATGTGTCTTATCTAGAGAGTTAGCTTAAAGCTGGCATTGCCTTTTTTTACCCTCACCTCCCAGCTGGAAAAGTCAGGCCAATAAATGTGAAGCTAGTGTGGCAAGGACTGACATACTGATTATAGCAGAGCTGAAGCTGACACATGTGATGTGGTGTTAAGGTTTAAGGGAGCGGGAAGAATTGTGCCGGTAGTTGGATCTATAACGGCATTTATACTACTGTATTCACAACAGATAACCAGAAATCTGCGGTTTAACATGCTCAAGCTTTTTGAGAGGTTGCTTTTGGTAGAATATTATTTTTGAATGTTTTGCAGAAGACTTAGTAAGGATGACCAGGCTTTTAAGTAGATAAATGAATGGCCCACATGTTGCCATTGTGCAAACCTGTCAGTGCACCGCTGGCTTAAATAAGGTATTTATAAACCATCCCAATAATCCCTTAGTATTTACAAGAGGAAGTCCTCCTGCAGGTCTGGGTAAATATTCTTTCCTGGAGTGGTAGATTTGAACCTTTGCCATCTTGAACGTGAGCATAGCGACAGCCTTACAGTTACTGTACTTCCTCTTTATTAAAATTGTGCCTGTCTGGTGGGTGAAACATTACAAGCAGGAAATCCTGGCATGATAGTCCTAAACAATACAAGTTGCTAAGAATATTTGGGCAGTTGGAGCAGCAAGACTGTTTCACTTGAATTTATGCAGGGGACTAGAAACAAAGCTCAACCTCAGCTGTCTGGCAGCCAGCGCTCCAGCATGCAGCTCTTTCAGCTTGCTTCTGGAAAAAGTAGTGTGCAGCTGAAAATGGCAGTTCTATAGCTTGCAGTCATTAATAATTTCCTATCAACCAAGCTATTAGGCCTGTAGTAATCTTCACATGACATATCATAGAATCATAGAATCATAGAATCGTTAGGGCTGGAAGGGACCTTCAAAGGTCATCTAGTCCAGCCCCCCTGCAAGGAACAGGGATATCTCCAACTAGATCAGGTTGCTCAGGGCCTCATCCAACCGGGCCTTGAACGTCTCCAGGGATGGAGCATCCACCACCTCTCTGGGCAACCTGTTCCAGTGTTCTACAACTCTCATGGTAAAAAATTTTTTCCTAATATCCAACCTGAATCTACCTCCCTCTATTTTAAAACCATTACCCCTTGTCCTATCACAACTGGCCCTCCTGAACAGCCTCTCCCCATCTTTCTTGTAGGCCCCCTTGAGGTACTGGAAGACCGCTATAAGGTCACCCCGGAGCCTCCTCTTCTCCAGGCTGAACAGCCCCAACTCTTTCAGCCTGTCCTCATAGGAAAGGTGCTCCAGCCCTCTTATCATCTTCGTGGCCCTCCTCTGGACCCTCTCCAACTGGTCCATGTCCTTCTTATGTTGGGGACTCCAGAACTGGACGCAATACTCCAAGTGAGGTCTCACGAGGGCAGAGTAGAGGGGGAGAATCACCTTCTCTTTGGAGATTTGCACTGCAGTGTTGAGGAATACGTGAGCCGACTGCTCTCCAGTCATGCCATTCTCACTGGCGGTAGTTCGTTAATATGGGACGCGCTCAGTCTCCTGTTACAGGGTGCTTTAGCTTCTCTTGTCTTTTAGCAGAGTTAATTTGCTATCTACAGCCACGTGAGCTTCACCTCTGCTGTTTTCTCCTCCACTGTTGCAATATATTAGCATTGGCAACATACCACAATGCAGCACTAAGGTAGCTCTTACCAGATCCTTTGTATCCGCTGTACATCTGGAGAACTGCACTTCAGGCCATCTATTCACGTGGCGTGTTGCCAAGTCAGTCTGGTTAGGCTTGTCAAGGATATTGATGCCAAGCAGCAAGGAATTTGGGATAATGAATCCATTCTGCATAACACCAGATGCAATGTGTGGCCTTTATTGCAAATTTATTCTGTTTTCATTTGCTTAACCTTTATGTTGTCATTTCTACTTATGCCAAAAACCAGCCTCGGAACATGGAAAAACTCAAAATTCAATCGTTTGGAAACTGCCACTCAAACGAATTGTGATACAGAAAGCATGTCAGGAGAGAGAAGCAAAACACTTGGATAATCAGTGTCTACTGGGAGTATCAGGTCTTCAGATGACTGAATCATGAAATGCCAGAAAATGACCACAGCCAGATTAGAGTGTGATATTAGTTTCTTTGTTGGTACTTGGCCAGGCAGTCTGCTCAGACTCACTACTTGACAAGTCCCCTAAGAAACTGTGTACTAGGACGGACCATGATTTTTAATACTTCAGTCTCTTTTATTCCTTCATCAGCTTTTGTCTGCGTTTTTTTAGTCAGTTGGTCTTGCTGAAGAAATGGCTTGATCCTCAGTTAGGAATCAACTAGAGGTGCCAAGAAGGAGGAACGAATAAGGCTGCAGGAAACTGGATAAGTAGGTAGCGATTGAACTGTGTAGGAAATGTTTTTGGTGTACATTTGTTGTGCCCTCTCGTAAGGGTTGTACTTTTGTCTCGTCTTAAATCTTACTCTCTGAGCTCTTGGACCAAACAATGGCTAAAGAATGGATCAGAGGGAAGAAGTGTTTTGTGCAGACTTTAGCACTGCTTAAAATTTTGGGAAACATCCAAACATGAGGGAAACCATAGGCTGCTCTTTCTCAAGTTATTTTAGTTACTCTTCACCTAGTATTAGATGATATGTATGCAGTTGTAACAAGGTTTTTGCATTGGTTCATTGTTTCTAGGCAATGACCTTAAAAGAGGTTGGAAATGAAAATGGCTTTGAGGTTTCCCTGGTTCCTGCCAGTACAGAGGTGCTTAATCAGGAGGAGGAGGAGGGAGTGTGCCTCTCGGGGAGATGCTGTCTATGGTCAGCTCTGGACACTTGCAGTTCCAGAGCAGTGTAGAAACCTAAGCAATAGATCAAAGAGAAAATACTTGCTGCTTTAGCAGCTGAGCACTGCATTGGCTTTAAAATGTACCTTCCACACCCACCCACCCCCTTCCCCCAATAATTAGGACTCTGCTTTAGGGAAGCTTTTCTCCTGCTCCCAACAGAAAGTGGTTTATTCTGTGTTGAATGGAGCTGAACTGAAACTTGTATAAAGAATCAGAACATGCAGCTACTTAAGCAAAGGTCACTAATTTCATGCATTGGCCAGGATGTTTAATAAATGGACCTCTCTTCTTTCTGGACCTGAACCTTCCTTTACTGCACGAATCAGCAGGTTTTTCATAACGTTACAAACTGACTCGCATGCAGCGAAAACGTGCTTTAGATCCAGAGGAGGGGAAGGAATGTGTGTCTTCTGTAGCACGTGAAGGCGTACACTAATTTAATGTAAAGTGATGAAGGGAAATGAAAGCTGTGCTTTCCTGCAGCTTTATCATGACCGTCCAGGCTAGGCTTGAAGAACAACTTTTAAAAAGTCTTGCAGCTGTTTTATAATTGCTTGCTCTGTTGAATACA